ATTGACCCTTATGACTGGTTTTGTGGTCCAGGGTCACATTTATCTTTCATGATATAAATGTGAAGATAAGCCTGTATTTCGTGTTATATACAAAAATTTTAAATGATAAATGTCTGACCATTACTTTCAAAGAAATATAACAAAATTTAAGATTAATGCTTTAATAAAGAAAAAACACCCGCCAATGGGTTATGACAATTAGTATTGTTTAAATCATTATTGTTCAATCATAATAAAAATCTCTTTTCTAGACTGCCTTGTTTAAGTCCAGATTAAATGCAAAAATATATGTGCAAAACATATGCGAATGAAAACATGTAAATAGGCCTACTGTTTTGACTTCCTTTCTAGCAAGTAGAATGAAGATGCATTTTTATTCTGCCCGTCTGCTTATTTTATTTTATTTTTCTCCATATCAATGTGAATATCAGACCAAATTTTCATGCAGTGTTGTCAAGTTTAACGGGTTGCTAATATAAATATATAAATAAGCTAATATATGTTCTAAAAATGCAAACAATTTAGATAATAATAAGGTATCTTATCCGGCCGATCGGCTCTGCTTATCTGGTGTGAGCGTGTACCTGCTGTCTCTGGTGAAGATGGTTTTGGGCAGCAGGTCTTTGTCCACAAACACCACACTAGGGTAGTACCACACTGTGAACCGGCTGTCCTGGACGCCACACAGGATGTTAGCCGAGTCGTTCCAGGCCATAGTGTCAACCATCGACCCTGAGGACGAGTCACACAGATCCGTTCAGATGAACCAGATTTAATACAGACGTCTGACTGAACTCAGTGTGACTGTACTCTTACCGATCTTGTGGATGCTGTGCGCTCGGCCCAGCTTTCTCACAGAGGTCAGGTAGAGGTCACGGTTCTTATCGATCAGTGCGATCTTTCTGTCATTAGACGAGCCACACTGATCCAGTGCGACGAACACCACCTCTATCTGAACAGACACACGATGAGAGGAGATACACAACATAACATCACCAAGTCTTTGACAGCACAGTTTATAACCGGCTGGTGATTTAACACACTAATTTGGTGCAATTCAAAAATGCATCCGGACCTGTCCGTCATCTTACACTGATGCAGTGTCTGATGATCATGATGCAGGATGACTGACTGACTGCGTGATGGAGTCTATTAATGCAGCCTAACATATGAGGGCAAAAAAATCACCCTCTTATATTTATAATATAAGATATAGTTTAGTAATATCACACCAGCAAGAGTGCTGTTTCTCCCCAATATCTGCACCACCGCAAATGTGACATTGATTTTTTACAGTTCAGTAAACAATAAGAGTTAAGGCCCGTTCACACCAAGCACGATAACTATAAAGATA